CCCTAAATCCCTGCATAGCACGGGGATTGGCTGCAAAAACGGGCCCGGAGTGGCCACCTGTTGGGGGGGTCCCCCCCCATACCCCCTAAACCTTCTGGCAGAGCAAGTTCTTACTCTTGAAACGAAAGGCTCCCTGGGGAGAGCTTTCGTGACAATGAGAAGATGATGCAGTAAAATGGTAGCCCTGGAGCAACTTGCAGTACGCAGAACATATGTCCCCACATTGATTGAGAAGGACATCTTCTGCCAGGCAGCCGCGGCTGCCTCCCGGCCATGCCAGAGATGCTTGTCCTGATCAACGCCTCCATTGGTAGCGCGATGCCAAACGAGACACGCCATGCAAAGACTTGTGTGACGTCCCCGTACCTTCGAGGACGAGCTGCTCCTTGGACATGCGATGGCTTGGGTACAGGACAGGACGAAAACAGAAGCATCTCTGAAGTTCCATTCAGAGATTTTCAAAACCCAGCCAGGTCTCACCGCTGCTCTGGGAGTGGCGGATGCGCGTGCCCTCTGAAGTGGCACTGATGCTCTGCATGGCGGCAGGCGCCAGCTTGGACAAAGCACACGAAAGAGAGCAATTAAGTTGGCTCGATGTACTGTGACGCTGCTTGCATCATTCTGGTGTCCGCTGTTGTGCTACGTCAAGGCTTTGCTCGACAGCTGCATACACGTCCACGCGGCAAGGACGGAATGCGTGGATGCCTCTCACGAAACTTCTGTAAGCCGCTGTAAGCCTTGCAGCTATGCGATCCCTTAGCATTCGCTGTGACAGGCTGACAAGCAAACATTGTTGCTGCCGCGTCCCGGCAACTCCAGACTGAGGAACTAGCCCCTCGGTGTCTGTGGGGCTCTGCGCCGTGAAGCGACCTGGGTCAAATTGTGCTTTTTCTTCCCCCGCAATACAGTGATGTCCTGCTGTATCGATATCTCTGCTAACAAGCAGCTGTGGCAACCCATCCCGCCGTACAGGAGGCCAGCAAGCGCATCAGCAAGACTTCAGGAATGAAGCTGCCGCGCCCATTCATAAACACATGACCCGTTCAGGCTCTGAGCGTGTGTCTGTCTGTCTGAGCGTGTGTCTGTGTGTGTGTGTGTTTGCTTTTTAGTTTGATCTTGAGCAGCTGTTCTGGCAGGTGGACATGCAACTCGCCAAGGGGGACGAGCGAGAGGAGAGCGAAGCTTTGCTTGGCCATCCCAGAGATCAGAACTCGCTCGGCCCTCCAATCGCCTTCAAGAGCCGCTCAAAGACGTGGGCTGCCTGGCTCTCATCCAGGACCTCGAGCACATATCTCTCTTGAGAAGTCCCTTATTGAGGCCAGTGACAGTGAGACAAGCTGATGGGAGAGCAACCAACCCCTTCAAGACTGAGGCTGCTCGCCTGCCCCTGCAAAACCCAAAAGTTTAGGGTCAATTGCTGAGAGCCCGTCGCTTTCAGGCTCGCCTGCGGCTGCTCGTCTCAAAACCAACCCGAGTAACAATGAAGTGAAATGATACTTCCTGAGCATAGAACCCTGAGTAAATCTGTGCAAGTGCTTGACCGTGGAGTCGACCCAGCGCGACACAAACGCCTGCAAGAGCATCGTTGGTCTGACAACGACGGTTTGTGTCAGCGGCCGACTGTCGATATGATGCAGGCAACCAGCATATGCCTTCACCTCGTCGGGAGCTGACGGATCTCGCATGTATTTCAAGGCCACCTTCCGGGCAGCAGCGATGGATTGCACAACAAGGCTCAATCAAAATCCAAGTGTCTGTCTAGAGCAAAACCGTGCATGACCAGCGACCATGCCTTGCGACCTTCATCGATGCTGTCATAGGCCTTCTTCCGTGTCTGCCAGGTTTCGACACGAAGGTCGCAGTCCAGTTTTTCAGAGGCTGAACCATCAGTCAGTCGTCTCACACAGCTGGTCTTCGTAGCATCGTAGACACATGAATGCGGCTGGACATGCATGATGAGCAGGTGAGCCTTGCCAGATAAGCCCATCGAGTCGAGAAAGTCCCACAGCTTTGGCAGGTATCTTTGTTCCTCACACCGTTCATCTCTCTGGCTCTGGGAGCGCCTTTGCCACTTGCGTCCCGCTCCTCGAAAGCTCGGTCGTGCGCCGCCAGGACCAGTCGCTCCAAGTCCTTCTGCGGCCTTCCGAGTTCAGCATGGAACTTTCCCCGCCACGAAAGCTCACTAAGACTACCAGACCTCCAATTCTCGATGATTCAACAATAAACTCACCGAGACCTTGAGAAACTCGGAGAGCTGAAATGGCCATTAGCGGTTAACTACTCCTTTTGATATCGAAAACTTTCCTCTTCGAGCACCCATTACGCAGAACAGCAACGACGACCGAGCCCCCTGCACATCTTCAAGCACATGTCTGGGAAAGAACTCCTGTGAAAACTGCCAGGGCCAACGCGTTGGGTAGGGTCCCGGCACGCTGGCGCTTTGGGGTCCTTGATGCCAGCATCCAGAACGAAGACGAAATCGACTCGATCCAACCACCGCCTCGACGAAAGTTCGAAAGCAGAGCTTGGCTCTTCGGGTCTTCGGGTACCCCTTGGGCTGCGGCCGGTCGCCGATGGCTTGAAAGATCGAGGAAAATGCAGAGTCAGCAAAGTCATTCACCAAGCCCATCCATGACCTTTGCCACGAGCACCCTGCGTAGTCAGAATTGATCCGGACTAGGCGCCACGCCTGTCTTTGAATTCTAAAGACTTTGCCGCCTTCTTGAAATAATCACCTGGGCTTGTACATGCACTGGGAACGCTCAACATTTGACCTACCCCATCGTCGATAGTATCTTGCGCTCACTCTGAACAGTGGACGCCACAGCCACAAACTTGACAGCACACGCATTGTTGCTTTTCTCTCATGCGTTGAATCGCACTTCTGCATGAGGTTCGGACGAAGTCTCTTGCAAAGCTTGGCAGGCTCCCATTCCTCACATATGGTGGCAGGTACACCCCCTGCATCCCCGTGAGTCACAAAACCGTGATGCCTTCTCCAAATGTTGGACAGGCTCGATTGCTTCCGTCACAGCATCAGCTAAGTCTCCTTCCATAGTCAAAACTTGTTGATCCCCAATGGCTGAAGGTCGGAATCGCACGGCCATGAATCAAGCGGCTGTACTCAAGCATATGCTGAGAAGTCCTTCGATTGCTATGAAGGCCCAGCTTGGAACAGAGGCGCATGTGTTTCTGAAAATTCCCGTTGATGACTCCAAACCCACAGCATTTCTTGACTTCGAATAGTGCTCTCCATCACTGGGAAAGCAGTATTGAAGAGTCGGGCGGTTTGAACCACCTCCCCACATGGAGCACCGAGGCTCTCCGAGCAACCACCAGCAGAGGCAAGGCCGAAAGGTGTGCATGTCTTGTTTCCCCAACGCAATGCGTCCACCAGTTGGCCACCGTGGCTTTTTGTGCTGCGTGTAGTCCTCCACTGGTTGATCAGACATGCATTGGACATGCTGGCAAGTTGTAGAGGTTTAAGAAGCGTGCGGGCGTGATGTCATTCCTACGTCGTCCAGCGAACTTCATAAGTTTGAGCGTCGCATTCAAAAGCCGGAGACACTTGCGAAGAGGCTTGCGCGAAGCGTGGAAGCGACAGTCAGACAGGAGGTGTCGGCTTGAGAAGAGACGATCCTCCTTCCTTTCCTACATGCCCGAAGCTTCGAAGAAGCATGGCCACATGCAGCTCGGTTTGGACTGTTGGCATGCAGGCTGCCAGAAACGGCACAGTTGCTTGCGAGATTGTTCAGGTTCCTTCTCCTGACCAGTCGTTTGAAGGAAGGGCAGACTAAAGTTCATGTGGAGTTGAACGATGTTGGCAAGTTTGACACACGGAAAGTGGGATAACCTGGCGGAACGACGTGGAGACTCTACGGCGACATCCCCCCACTACTACATGTCATGTTCTGCTCTGCTCACGAATGCTAGGCATCAAGTAGCAATCAACATTATCATTAACCATCAGAAACCCAAGTCATTCTCCAACACCATGGACAGGTCCTTTTGATCTCGTTGCAGCAACATGACCATGGCATGTCTTTGGGTCCCGTCGCTGGCAATACGAAAGTCCGGGCGCTCAATGGTGCTCACAAGACAACTGGGATGACCTCGTTCTGAAGGTGCTCATCCTGGAATGCATGGGCACGGCTGCTCCAGAAATGACCAAGCTCGCAAGAACTGGGGCCTTGCGCTGCAGCTTTTTCACATGGGTGGCCACAAGGAAACCAAGATAGCCTGGCGCTCTCCAATGGTGGCGGCACATGTGGAAAAAAACTGGACTACGGAGAATGCCTAGGCTGCAAATTGGCACCGTTGTCCAGACCTCAACTGCGAGAGCATGCTACAAGTTCTACTTGTATAGAAGCACCACACGCCAAGCTGAGCAGGGGACAAGGTAACTAAAGTAGACAAGCGATAAGCCACAGGCACCCTTCCTCCTCAAAGGACTGCGCTCGGCGGTACCCGGCCTGGACCTGTCTATGCTGCCTCTCCTGTCGACCTCCGGGTCGCTTGTCCACAGGAAACCAACCAGGTTCAAGACCTGCAGAGCGCAACTGATCGCTGTGAAGAAGCCAGCATGCAGAAACTGAAGTTGTCTCAAAACCCGGCCACGAGGATGGTGAGAACCGCAATGCGGCCAACAACAGCCTTGGAACAACGGTTTCCGTATCAAGAAGGCTCCAGACACGGCATAGCTTTGCTATCAGGGCAGCGCATTAGGGTCTGTGACGTAGGCCAGCCCGCTGAACACCAAGGTAAGAAAACCAAACCTGCCATGGGGCGGGGACACTGGGCGGCCTACAAACCCTTCTGCTGGGACCATGAGGTTATTCAAGCGTGCCAAGCCGGACCACATCAGGATACCATCCTCGGCTAGACGAATCAGAACGTCAGAGCGACGCGATTTCCCTTCACGGCAACGGCTTCAAGTCCTTGCAACACCCCGGCATAGCATCATCGACTGGCCGGCTTAAGTATCGACCGCTTGCATATTGGGCAAGCTATAGCTGGCTCGCCGTAGACAACTTGGCGGCTGCAGCTCTTCCCACGTAGTATGTGCAGACAAGGCACCAGGTTGCGGGGACAAACGCTATCTCTATGCCTTGGTGCCACGCGATCCACACCGTAGAACACCCTTCAACTCCTGGCGACAGAATCGCTCGCCGAGGCATCGGCTCCCATCCTGCGAAAACCAGAACGATCCCAAAGATGAAGGGAAAGCCGACGTAGCAGAACCTGAGAGGTCCATCGGCAAATCCGCACGGACTTCTCCAATGCGCAAGCTCAAAACTACTGGATTCTGCCCTTCCTGAGATCGAGAGCTTGCTGCAAGAGCTTAGCAGCAGCGGCATGGCCTTGTCTGACAGTCTGACACAGTCAGCGGATGCGAGCGAAGATCCGAGCGCCCCTGCCTTAACCATTCGGAAAGTCACGGGCTGCTGCGACAAGCTCGGATCTGCCAGGTCTCACGTCTTTGCATGGCAGAAGCCAGGAAAAGCCCTTCTTGCGCTCGCAAACCCTGAACAGCACGCCTGACATCATCGGGAGCGGTCCACTGCTTCCCGCACCCTGGGCTGGGGGCGGCCAGGACCTCGCTCAAAACTCCTTTGCTTCGACTGCAAGAAGCCCGAAGGTCTGCGGAATGCCGAGTGCACAGCGCTCCGGCCAAGGGTTGCTGACCATCATCAACCTGCAAACTACGTCTCAGAATTGGAAAACGGCAACCTTTCAGAGTCAGTGTCAGGTGCAAGCCTGGGAGTATCCAACAAAGCCTTTCACCATCGATGCAGCTACACCTTGCTTCAACTTCGCGTCTCACCAGCCGTTTTGGACTCTCCTTGTATCATCTAAACTGAGACTGCCAAACCTGGGCCACAAGCCGAAAGCACTGCGTCCTTGGTCTAAGGCTCCTGAGTAGTCCGCGTCCTGCCGTCGCAGTTGCATCCCGACCCTCCTCAAAGTGCGAACTGCGCTGCAGGCCCTTTGACACCGCCACCAAGGACTTCCGCTTACCCTGGACTCAACAAGAACCGTTTAAGCAGCACTCTTGCTGCATCCTGCAGCTGAACACCCCGCAGCTCCCGCATATTCCCAAGCTCAGAGGCCCATTCCCGTCGTTCCACTGTCGGATTCATGCGAAGAGTAATCCCGCTTGGATCGCACTTGCTATCACGTTCTTTTGTCTCAAGCAATCATCTCTTTCACCCTAAGCTTCTACTGAACTACACTCCCGAACCCATGATGCAGCCTTAGGCATGCAGTCTGGTGAAAAGCTGACGTCAACGAAGGCAGCGGCGTTCTCGGTGGGCAGTCTTCTGCTAATGGCGACTGAGTCGCATCTTTCGCAATCCGGCTTCCTTCTCTGTTGAACAACGCAAACAAGGTGCCATAAGAAAGGTCGGTGCAGGAAAGGTGCAGTTTGTAAGCCCAGTTGCGGTGGAGAGCAGAGGAGACTTTTCTCATCTCCGCCAAAATACGTGCAGATCGAATTCAGATTGTACGCTAAAAATGGTAAAAGCCTTGTTGAAATACGCAATGCGGCAAGAAGATCGACTGCAGAATTGAGGTTGCACGACCTGGTGTCCCCTCGATGGCTCAAGATATCTGACCACTGCCTCTCTGCACGTGACTTGTCTCTTCATGCTTATGTTTAGGCGAACCTCAGATTCTGCCACCGAAGGCAAGGCAGAAAGAACACTTCGTCGGGTGCATGTTGCAGCCCTCCAAGGAAAGAGTGGCTTTTATGGCCAGGAAACGAGCCCGGGCGCTCGGAAAACCCGAGAGCCGAAGGGGCCCACCAGCCAAAACAGCACTGAAATCGTGCGGCACAGTCAGTCGAGCTCGTCATGATCGCTTTCCGAGCCCAATCCGTGCAAAGCCCGCAATCCCGAACTGCATGCTGCCTTCGTTATGCACAGTCCTTCGCGACTCCTGTCATCCCATTATCGGCACATGCTGGTTTGCTAAAATCAGCATGACTCGCAAAATGGAGGACAACACCACTAGGGTCACTAGGGTAAAGGCGCATGCTTGAGCTCGTAAACACAGTGAGCTCAGTAAGGATGCAGTCTTGCGTGGGACAGAGCTCGTATAATACAGAACGTCCAAGCCTTGCTCGACTGAACTGGAACCGCTGGCAGGTCAGAAGCCAAAAGCTCTTGCTTCCTCGGCACCAGCAAAGCGATAAAAATAAAAATGAAAACTAACACCGTCGAACGGCAGATTAAACAAAGCGGCCTTTCAATCAATGGGGATTGTCAGCCCGCTGTACTCGAAGAATGAAGGCCTAGCTGACAGAACATTAGAACTGGAATCGACTTCTTAGAAATTAGCATGTGCATGGCGAACTATAACACCCAGGGCCTAAGATGCGGTCTTGCGGCACTTACCGGCCTGTCCCTTCACAATGTCCACGTGTCCTCATCGGCTGACGGGGGGTCAGTACCTCAACTCGAACAGACCACCAAAGCTGTTGCAGTTGAGAGTGCACCGAGACATGCACCGACCCAGCTTCGACTCAGTAGCTCAGCTGCACTTGGCCGAAGCCCACTGTCAACCTCGGTTTTATTCGTACTTCCAACACGGTTGCTAGCGCAGCACAGCTCCAGCTCGGTGGGTGACGCACAAGCTCTCTTTCACGATCTCCCGGCACTCCTAAGTAAGAAACAGAAACTGGTTGGTTCAGGCTAACAAATCGCATCGCGAACTTCGCGATTTGCAGATTGCGGAATGTGAAAACAATGAGCTTAATGCCTTTTCTCGCTAGTAGCTTCCATTTGCTCTTTCACACACACACACACACCAAACGTCTCTGCACCACTCAAAAAGAGCAAACTAACGCGCCAGTAGATATCATAAGTTATACAGTGATAGTGTGGGAAATTTGCATGAAAATTGCAACCAGTACGGGAAATTTAAACACAGGAAAACTCAAGCGCTTCCACCATTGTTCAAAACAAACAATCATCCAACTGCCTAAGTTCCTGTGCGCTTCGAACACGTCTTCAACAGCATTTTCCGCGCTGTACTGTCATCCCGCGATCAGCCAGGCGCACAAAGCCGCCGGGGTGCGATGTAGGCCGGCGCAACAGGGGAAGAGGACGCGAAATTGCCGCCCTGGGCCTCCTCACTCCGACTCCGACCGTTTTTTCTCATCGCTGAGACAAGCACACCTTGGGAGCCACCAAAAATAGAAAAGAAAAACGGCGAATTCTTGCGGACACGCTTAATTGGAGGGTTCAATGTAAAGGGTTCAAGATTAGGGCCGCACGCCGAGTCTTGTGAGATCTCTGCACTTTTCGTTTGATGGATCTTGCGATCCGTTTTCTGCACCTGCTTCCAGGGAATAGGCTTTCCACCGTGGACACAGGCCTCAAGGCAACTTGCACCATGTTGTTGTTTCGTCAGCGGTGGCCTGACGTGCCTGCGCTGGTGACCAGGATGTCGTCCGTCTCGCGGATCCAATAATCCGCCCACCTCCACGGCCCTTGCCGAATGCGGGTCTTCATGGCTTGGATCCAGGGCATCGCATCCCAGCAAGATAAGATGCTGTTTATGGTGTTGCACCGCGGATCTTCCGTGCAGTCCAAACCGAATAAAGAGCTGTGCAGGCGTGCCACGCGGTGCAAGAAAGCACAATAAAGCGGCGGCCCCTTTAAGGCGCCCTCAAGCGTTTTTTGGAAGGGACTCGGAAAGGAGTTCTGTTGTTCGGGCTTGGCGGGGAAATGATTGCGTCCGTTTCGGTTGCTTGCGACCAACACATTGCTCAGATTGCTCAGGCAACTTATTGCGTCCAACTGTTTCCAACCATCCTACTCCGTGGCTGCCTCTTACACTCGCATGCCTGCTCGTGCTTCGCCATAACGGCTTCTTCCTGGTCACGTAGGTCCGCCTCAAATCTTGGTGTGCTTGCGCTTGGCCACCAACCTTCCGTCCCCCTATCAGGGACAATGTCGACTGTTGGGGGACTGGAGGCATCCTCCAGCATCACATCCTTTATCTCGGCGGTGATATCTTGGAGGCCTTCTCCCCGCCTGGAGGGCGCATTTCTCATCCGGCTGAACAAGCTGCCCTTCCACGGCAGACTTGATTTCCTGCAGCTCGTCCGAGAAGGGGGTGTGTCAACCCCGAGCTTGGAAAGCAAAACGTTCACTTCCTCCTCGTCATGGGGATCGAATGTTGTGCTTCAGGGTGGCCCTTGCAATTGCGGCATCATCTTCGACATCCTCCCAATCCTGATGTCCGACAGCGAAATGGTCTCGATTATCTCCAGCCTAAGAAGGCGCAGCCATTGCGCAAAGAGGTAAGCGCAAGATCAGGACACAAAAACTTCTAGTCGGTCCCGATATGGAACCAAAATGGCAAGGCCATCTTGGCAGTCGTCTCCTTACATAACCCTGCACGTCGCTAGCAGGTTGAAAGCTGTAAATCATAGCAACGACTGCAATGAGCAGAATTCAACATGCGTTATCACGCGTTAATACTCACGGCTTGGCTACTGTCTCTCCCAGTCCCTGCTCAGCCTCACAAGTCTTGCAGCTGAATGATCTCCAAGTCTCGCTGCTGAAGGTAGCCCATCCCGGTGCATCGCATTGGACAGGCTGCGAGATAACTGCATCCATGAAGGAATTCCTGACAAGCACTTCTATCGATGTTTAGGCGTGCCACCCTGATTTGAAGCCACTCTCCTGGATGAATACTTGGATAGCCGCCGAGGCAGATCCCCACGAAGCATAAAGTGTAAGCACCTGTCAGAGGACTTGTTCGGAGAACTATCTTCAGTTTAAGCAACGAAGACTATACGAATGGATGCAAAGTGCTGTACTGGATGCACTCCACCACGCTTTGTGATTTCAGTCATGCAGCAGACCGCAGCTCCAAACATCAGCAGGTTCAGCATGGCTCTTGCCAGCAAGAACCTGGGAAGCTGCAGCTCTGGAAGCTCAAGATGCCGGGTACTCTGCGCAGAGAGCGCCTCGGGCGAGGCGAACTCGGCGGTGAACGTCATGCTCAAGGCTCCACCTGAGGGGCTCTCGAAGGGGATCGAAGGGGTGCTTTTGTGGGACCCAGAGGCCTTCGAGCAGGGAGTGGGCGGCATTGAAGTCAGCAAGCCAAAGATTGCTCAAGTCATCGGAAACCAGGATGTTCTCTGGCTTCACATCACGGTGAATGATTCCTTGCAAAAAAAAGCTTCTCGGAATCTCCAGAAGTCTCTCTCCACACATATTTTATATGGACTCCAAAAAAAGCAGGGTTTAGGGTATTCTATGGACTCCACACAAAAGCAGGGCTTTTTTCTGAGCCACACATGTTATATGGACTCCAAAAAAAAAGAGCAGGGCTTTAGGTTCTGAGTCGGAGGAGGCGCTCTGCTGGTGCAAGAAATCCACGGCCTCCAGCAGCATCCTCGGAGCGAACTTTGCAATCAGTCAGGGTCACCGTCGAAAACCAAAAAAAAACCAAGAGAGACCCCCTTGAAGATCCTAAATTCAGATCGAGCATCTTAAAGAGATGCTTGGATGTCATCTCGTCCACAGAGGATGCTTTCCGTACCACTTGCTGCAGATTACTTTGGCTGTGAAGCTCCATAGCCAGGACCGCCTCGTTGTCGTGGGTCCAGAAGTTCAGCACATTGACGATGTGCGGATGCCGGAGAGTGCGGAGGACATTGAACTCACCGCAGCGGATGCGCAGCATCTCCTGACGGCGCTTGCCTCTCCTTGCCTCTCCCGGTCTCCCGGCCTGCAGCCTTGACTTTAGAACTCCTGCCTCGTCCAAGCACTGCATCACCTTCAGTGCCACTTCTTTGTTATCTTGCTTCTGCTTCGCCTTGAAAACCTTTCCAGCAGATCCGAAGCCCAGCAGTTCCTGGTCAGAAACTCGGGGTTCTGCCGGGAAGGGAGGTCTCCCAGTCACGTTGAAGCCCTCTCAAATCCTGGATGTCGTAGTCGCGCATCGAGGCTCCTGGAAGGGTGAAGCTCCTGCCAGAGACCCAGCGAAGATCTCTATGACACCCTTTTAAGCCCTTTCATCGTCTCCGCAGGCTTGAGCCTCTTGGCCATTGAGAGGTTTCCCAATGTCAGGCATCGCCGAGATTGAAGACCCGGCATGATCACAGAGTCAGAGCTGGCAGCGGTGAATAGCAAAGAGTCAAGAGTGAAACTGTAGAGTTGGCTTTCAGAACGCCTTGGTGAGCAAAGAAAACCCTGCACATTACCGTTGGGAGGTGTGTCATTCTTTTCGAGGCAGCTCTGATCTTCGAGCCGGAGTGCGACACAGCGTGGCAGCGGAACTGTCGAACTGCCCACTCATAACCAAAGAAGTCTCCCCGCTTTCCTGAATGGTCCGGGCGAGGGCTTCTCGCAGCAGGCTGGGCAAGTCCGTGTCCTGGCTTTGAGCAGCAGCACTGCATGCGCTGCATGGATTTCGGAAGCTCTTCCAGCCTTGCGGTCCACGTTGCCGTACCTAACGGCGGGGGCACGGTCATGTGGCGAGCGTCCAGGTGACTTAGAGTCTAGGTGGGATGCCAGGCCGAGATGGCTCCCAGAAGCTCGGCACGGTGGATGACGTGGTCACCTGCGACGACTTTGGACTGTCTTTCTGGCTGTGCTCTTAGGCATTGCACTTTGAATGCAGTCCGGCCGCCTAGTGTGTCCGCCTCCTGCATGACACGGAACACTTCGTGCCGGGGGACCTCCGCGGCCGAGCCCAGCTAAAATGGTCGCTGCGGCTTTCGAAGGCCGTCCGTCAGGCTCAGTTTCCTGCTGGCTTGTTGCCATTCATCGCCGTCAACAAGCGTTCCAGTTCCGCCACGGAAAGGTGTCCCGACCTCGAGCAGCAAGACAGGTACTGTTCACTCCATGCAGTGACAGCAACAGTGCTGGTCAACCAGAAGCCAACAGGAAGCAAACGCACTCCACAGTCTAGGGTCATATAACCCTCAGCCCTGGAAATGCCCTGCAGGCTGGAACTTGTTCCATCTAGTCTTCGTCTTCCGTTGTGTGCGGCATGTTCAACACTTGCAAGCATGGCGTGGCCTAGGTGGGACGAATCCTCGAATAGGCGAACAAGCACCGCGCTTGTCTTCGCGCGTCGGAGTCGCTGACGGCGCCGCGCTGCGCATCTTGCACCAGAGAGCAGGATGCAGGCCCCAGGCGAAGGCCGGGAGCCCAGCTCAAAGCCTGGCAGCTCCAATCCCTGTGCCGGGACTGCCCGATGACGAAGATTTCCAAGGTGGGCACCATGTCAAATTCGGCGCCGGGGGGGTTGGAAGCGAGAATGCTCTTACTGTGCACTGGGGCCTAGGGCCTACGGCCCAATTAGGGCCTAGAGGGTCCTTAAGCGGGTGACCTCCAGGGCCCAGGCTCGTCGAAGTCGAACTCAGCAAAGAGCCGGAGAAGCGAATCCTGAGAAGCAGGTCGAAGAATCTCCGGCTACGTTTGTCAATCCGATTCAATTGCCAACTTTTTTCGCTCCCTGCCAATCTGTGCAAGAGCGGCAACCGAATTGCACTGCGATCTCAACGGGACAGGCGCAGAAAGAGATACTCTGCCGTACGGCAACTGTCGTGCCCATTCGCCGGATGCAACTGGCCAGCTGCGGTGTCTGCCGTCACATGCTGGCACCTGTCCCGAAGACCAAATGTGGTGTTAGGCACGGCCACCACAATAAAGGTCGTCAATGGTCCTGCCATATACACCGGCTTGTGCAGTCTGGAGACTTCCGCACACCACAATCCACTCTTGTCTGTAAGCAGGCGCAGCTCTGTCGAAGGCAGGCACTCCACTTCTGAAGGAGTCTGCGCCGCCTTCCACCCGAGTTCTTCTCCGGAGCTGTGCAGGCTACAGACTTCAAAGACAAAGCAATGTCAGCTACGTGCTGCATCACTCGTCGGAATGCGTCCAACCAACGCTGAAGCAAAGAAGTCATGCAGAAAGCGAGAAGCTGCAGTACCTCACGTCCCCAAATGGTTTGATCCACGAAGCGCTTCTTGCTTTATGCGGATCAGGATCTTGCCGTCCTGGAGTTCTGTACACCGGGATTGACGAGGCGGAGCCCACCAGCATGCAAAGCTCAGGCATGCGCTTAGTCCGGGGCCCATCCCACAAACAGGAGCAGTCAGCTACTTCTTGGCGTCGCCAGCAGGGCAACAAGAGCACGCTCCCACTGCAAAAGTGAGGAAGTATGCTCGGGAGCCCCTCACATGCACGACTACGGTGGCTACGTGCAACAGGTTCCCTCAAAGAAGACTACATCCAGGTCTCAAGTCTCAACCACAAGAGGGACCTCTGCAAGTGCTGCAAAGCAGAAAATTCCACATTGGGAGCGAAAACCGATGGGGTGACTAAATGCCACAGCTGTTCACCCATGGCCTGGAAACACTCCAGCTTTCAACTGCCAAACATCGGCCTTCCATCCGAAACCTGCTGTACCATGATGGCCGTCGATTGTCGTACTGATCTGGTCGAAGTCTTCCGGCCAAAGGCACTTGCACTACTGTATCGAATTCTGAATTGGCTTCTTCTGCTGCTATTCGGAAGATCCTGAGCAAGGCCGGCGTGGGCATCTTTTTTGGAGACGTTCCAGGCTCAGCCCGGAACTTGCCAGAGCCGTTTGCCAGGATTAAGCCTGCAGCCTCAAGGCAGATAAACCATGGAGCACAGGGGCAGAGCGGGGGGCAGAGCGGGGGCAGAGCACAGGGGCAGAGCGGGGCCTGGTGCTCCGCTTCGAGGCTCTGCTTGCCTTCTGCCAACCCTGAGCTTCAGCTTCTGAGGAGTGCAGAAAACACTGGGACAGGGCACGCATTTGCGTAGACTCTAAACGCTTGCAAACAACGGGTCAGCTTGGGCAAGGGCTGCCATTTTTCGGTCGAACTTGGCCTTTTTCCAAAAGCCGCTTCTTCCAAGTACATAGGTCCCCCCAGTCTAGACGATCTACGTGATCAGCGAACTGCAAGGGGACGGTTCTGCAGGGATATGTATGCGCTACGAGTACATCCCAAGTGAGTTGCGCAGCACATTGAAACGATGGCCTTCAGCGTCCACGCGACGGCTTGGCTGGCCTCAGGACGTCACTGAGACCTTCGCGGTTTTGAAGCACAACCAACGATCCGGGCGAGCTGCCAGGATAAACCAAATGGAGGACGGAAGCACCTGAATGCCAATCCAATGTTGCTCCACAACCCTCAGCCCTTCCAAAACTGACCACTGCCTGCACACACACTTTGACCGCGTAGCAAGCGGCCATGAAGAGGCTCAAGCACATCCTCGCAGGGCCAAGCTTTCCAGACTCACGGCTAAGCCTGAGCTTCCGCGGCCGATTGCAAACCAGGCTTCACCCACTTTGACTCCGACTCAGAGATGGCAGCACGGATCATTTCAGTTCGCTTCGGGCTGTTTTCGCCTAGCCAGAGCCTTTCCTTGCAGAGCCAGTACACGCTGCGGACGGAACGAAGCCGGCACAGGACATCCAGAAACCAAACATGCGACGGTCCGAGCGCTTCCGAGTTACGATGCGAGCCCCCGGCGTCCATGTGACGATAGCTGTGCCAGGCACGGAGGGCATAGTGCAACCTTCGGCAGCAAGACTGCACAAAACAAAAATCTCCAGGCAGAGTGATGGGCTCAGGATCTTCTGTTAGAGAACAAGTTAGTCGAGAATTCTTAAGAGTGAGAGGTCGGAGTGCCCGTCAGGGCGTAGCAGTGCATCTGAAAGAGAGGCCGCTGAAGCTCTCTCAGGAGATCCGTGCAGCTGCGCAGCTCCCCCAAGCTGATGCGACCATCACCATCCTGAAAAAACTCAGGAGAGGCGAGCGTAGGCGAGCGGAGCAAGGTTAGGGCTTCTTCGGCTCTTTGACTCTGCCTTGTCAGAGAGCTTCATCATGAAGGCGTGCCTGGTCGAGCAAGCTGCCAGCATCGAGCCGAGGGCGGCCCGGGGCTAGAGGCCGGGCTCCTCTTCTGTGGGATCGCGGCCTGCGGTGGTGGGTCTGCTCCTCCCCCTCCCCCCCATGCCCACCCGGCGCGTGCCTTCGTTAAAGTCCCGCAGCAATGCACGGAACTCTTCGACCTCGAGGGCCTCAGCCGGGTCCGAGTCCGAGGACGCCGGCGGCAGGCTTTTGTTGGTTCAACATGTACCTCTTGTAGGGGGGCTCCCTTCATTTCCTCGGCAGTGCGGGGTTGCCCGCCCAGGAGTTTGGGGCGTGTGTCCTGTCGGTGCGCACCCTCATCTCCCCTCGTGCGGGAAAAAGCTGCGGAAATGCTCCTCTAACTTCTTGTGGCAAGATCTCGGCGACCGTCCCCGAGGCGGCTGTCGTGCTAGTAGCCAAATTAAACGTCTTTTGGCTCCCTTCTGCCGGAAGTGCTAAGGGTTAGACTCCAGAGTTGTCCCTGTCGTACTCCATGAAAATCTCCTTCAAAGCAGCTTTTTGGGCCTTGCATGATTTCTGGGACAACTGGGATGCATAGTCTTTAGCTGCGAGCCTCGCGCATCATCCGAAAACCTGCAATCCTCAACCCCAAACAGGTTCGAGGCTGTCCTGCAGGCGAATTTCATAGGTGTTCCAACCTTAGCCGGAAAGGCAGACATCTCACTCCCAACTGCAAGGCTTAAGCCTGGGTTCTGGGCGATCGCGGGCCTCGAGTCGTGCGGCACCTGCGTCCGCCCGGCCTGAGCCGCAAGAGACGAGCTGGGCCGGCGTTCCACAACATCGCGAGGGGCCTGTCGGTGCGGGATGGCTCTGATCCTGAGCGGACCTCCCATCGCGGCCACTGCTCATGCTAAGCTCCCTTCGGGCCCCGGCCTTGGGAGAGGCGGCTCGGGCTTCGGCTCGGGCTCCTCCGGGCGGAGCACCGTCGCCGCCTGCTCGGGCTGAACCTCGGCTGTCCGCTGCAGCTGCGCGGCTCCGCGCGGCTCCGCGCGGCTCCGCGGCTGCGTGTCGGAAGGCCGTTTTGTTCAATCCCAGGGGCGTATTTCACACTGTCGTTCTCCAGGGCCACCTTGATGCACCCCGCGGGCATGGAGTAGCCATCAGCCACGCAGGCTTGCTCGAAGATCCTCCAAACTGCTCGCATCTGCTCTGCATGTGCAATGAGCGTGTGTAAGGTGCAACAAGGTGCAACCAGGCCCCTGCTGCCAAGAGTCTCTGAGATGGTGCCGCGAACCTTGGACTTTGGTACTAGTAACATCTTTGCTTTTCAACAGTCGGGAGCTGCTTCGAGGCTTTGCCGAGGCACCCAGGTTCCGACGGAGTTGCTGTAGACCAGGACTGCTTGTCCTGGAAAGTATCGGCCGGAGCCTGAGAAGGGCGGGATTTTTTGCGAAGTGAACATCACCGGGATCACCGTGGCAGTTCTCAGCTCGCCTGCAGGAGCTGGCGCGGGTCCGGGAGGCTCTGCTCCCCGCTGCCCAGGCATTGCGAACCCACGGCAGAACAAGATGAACAAGTCTTGTCACTGTTGAGCTGCTACAAGTAGGCCGGCGAAGCTGTACGGTGTTTGCCTACCGGCTTCCTCCTGAAGACTCTGAGCTGATGGTTCCCAGGCATGTTCTGTCATTGAGCCCGGCTCGCCAGAACTTATGGGAAGAAGTCAATGTCCCACGGCCGTCGTACGAGCATTCGCTCATTCAGCAAGATGCTCTTTTCGATCTGACAACTATCAATTCTCGATGTCAACCCTCCGCGCTCGAGAAGCATGAACAAACACTGAATGCTGTCGCGTACTGCAAGATGAGATCGACAAGGTCAGAAACAACTAATTCGCAATTTTGCCCAGGCCGCCTGCCAGGACATCAAAGCCTTCAGCCGCTCGCAGCGCGTGCGAATTATGAATTTCCCCGTGGCATGATGCCAAGGTTCAGTCGTCCGAATAGAAACCGGCCAGCACCTTTGCACGTTTGACGAGTGCTGAAGCTGAGCGAGCAGGGCGAACGTGTCAGCTGGGTGTGGCGGAACGCACTGCGTGCACGTTCTTGCCGGCCTTGTACGCAAAGTCCTCATGCACTGCCGTCATGCCAACTTCTCAAGCAACGCTTGAAGCCACTGTCCTCCAGATCGCGCGGTGGAGCTGTGGTGAGGCGCCGCAGGCCTCTGGAATGTCGACATGTTGTGGAGAGGCCGTGCTCGGCTCCTTCCCGAGCACGCGGCTGAGCCCCAGCACGGTGGCGACTTTGGCAGCATCGCACTCCAAGTGAAGACAAAGATGGCCAATGGCCTGCCGGCAAAGCAGCCGAACCCAAGCAACAAGTGGACACAGCAAACGAAGCCTGCAGCAAACGTGTGTCAGGTCCAGCTCTTCGATCTTGCGCCCTCGGCATAGCACCACCAATGTCACAGAGGTTGGAAGATTTCTCTTGGCGTCGGCCTACTGCGACAGACCTTCCTCAAACAACTCGTCCCTGAACACTCGTCACTTTCCCGCCAAGGCACTCCACACTGTTCAGCATGGCAGCCTGTGCTGTGACACGGATTCCCGCCGCGCGGGCGGAGGAATTGTCGCCGAAAGTGTTGGACTGACTTTGAAGGCCGGTGAGATCTACGTAACTACGCAAATCTGCACGGAACTGAACATGGAGGGTGGAAGTCAAAGAGGCAGACTTGGCTTGCAGACATCTGCAACCAGATCCGATGTGCTTCAAGAGCCACGAACAGCTAGAGCAGGGCTTAAACCGCACATCGCTTGTCCAGAAAGGCTGTACGCTTTCCGAGACAGGCCTTGGACGTGAGCTCGGCAGCTGTGATTGGCATGGCTGGCCTTGCAGCTTCAACCACACAGCGTGAGCATCGACATGCAGGCGTGCTTCCGCGCCAAGCTCCGGGCGGCTTTGGCCTCTGCTTGCCTCTTCGGCGTGAACGCTATCGGTGATCGCTCGTCGCCAAGCGTTTTTTCGAAGGACTCTTCCGGTGGTTGTTGACACAGGTGGTGCTCCCTGTCTGCTGGGCATGGAAAGCTTGATGATCTGCTCTACGAATCTGCGACTGGCATATCTCGGCATCGCACGTATTCGAGACTAAAGCTGCACAGCGAAAACGCGGCGGTTGAATCGAAAGCACTGTTGCAGGTAGAGGTGTTGTTTACGACTGACTCAGCCATGGAAGCATGCCTGTATAAATCGTTTTCTTGACGCGATTCGCACGGAGTTGTGAAAGTTATTTTTTGGCCTCACTCGATGCTGGGCAGCACGTTCAGCACGTCCTCGCAGTGCAGGACCACAGTCCAGGTTCTTCGGATATACAGAGCACATAGAGGACACTAAAAGGCAGTAGGCAGCACATTGAAACACAGCAGGGAACAGTTGAGCCCCCGACCGACCGACACGTGCAGTCCACTGCAGCCGGCCAGCCCTGTTTCATGTCAATGTGTCCGAGTGACCACGGCCCGTGAACACAACTTCGGGTCCTGTTGCTGAGTGTGTTCATCTGAGACTGCAACGAACCACAAGTATTCACAATACTTCGAAGAGGCGGAGTGCAACGAACCACAAGCATCTACAACACTACGAAGAGACAGAGTGCCATTCCTTGCACTGATGCGCCGCGCACAAACCAAGCTTCACTGGGTTTCCTGTGCTTAGGAAACCAAAGAGAAACCAGATAAGCAGGGACACACCGCTTTAGGTGTTTGCCTGCCCTCTCCGTCCCGGCAGGCCGGCAGGGTATGAGACACTGGGTCAGGGCCAAGAACTCTTCTCATAGGGCTTGGAAACACTGATACTGAGTCATACTCCAGCAGGGCCTGCCGTTAGCGATAGTAGGTCTTATGTACATGGCTGGCCACCCGCTCCGCCTGCCTGCAGCACATGTGCTCTTGCTCATGGTTCAGGCAGGAGCATCCTATCCAGCCGCACACAAAGGGTCTTCAAGCGGAACCTCAACGATCAAGGCTTGTTTTCCAAGGCGCTCTATGGAGCCCGGCTGAAGATCGAAGTAAGACAGCAGCCACTCCTTCCGTGCGACAATGACACCCCTGCCTGGCGCAGTGACAATGCTCGAAGCATTTCCCCCGACATGGGATGACATGCGTTCATAAGGAGGCCACCAAGCCCAGAGTCGCAAGCACGGGTCAGTCCTTGTCTTCTGGTAGTGTAGTCTCACAGCCGGAGATTCGCACCGTGCGCTCCTGGTGCTCAGCACAAATCATGTCTTTAAGACGCCTTGACACGGCATCACAGATGGCGACTGCGCTCCGTGGCAGGGTGGTTCGCCCCGTGCACCAGGAGCCCTCCCGGGCGGCTCAGGAAGCCCAAGCCTGGGAGGAGGAGGCTTTTCTGCTGTGGGCCCTCCCCCACGCTGCTGATCAGAAAAAGGCGTCCAAGCAGCCGGAGGCTATGTACAGCTCGAAGACCTCTGCTGAGATTCAGTGATGTTCGAGACACTAATCGTGGCACTCCTTCGTGTAGGCGCGCACTGGGACTGCGATGACACTGCAGCCTGGAGGCACACCACAACCGCTTGTAGACGTCGCACCTGAAATGCGTTGACCAGACAGGACGCCGATCGGACAAGCAGAGTCCGCGCCTGCGGTTCCTGACCAGAAGCACCTGTGCCCAAGTGCGCCCGAGCCAAAGGACGCATTCGCAGGATTTCGCAGCGTGCGCAAATGTCGATCTCCGCCACGGCACCGTCTTCGCCCGCTGCAGGGCCAGGGCCCAGGGCGCCTCCTGCGGCGCCGCACGGAGGCGCACGGGCACGACGGTGTGCACGGAGAGAGCCTTAGACGAGGATCCACCTGTTCTCACCTGTTTCAAGCGACACGTGCGCTCTCTCCGCCAAGCTTCCAGAAAGGAGATCCACAAGTTGGGAGGCTTCTTCCAAGAGGAGAAGACCTGCGTCGGCTCACAGTGCCGGGCTCCCAACAGCATCCAACAACCATGTTTTGCTGTGTTCTTCCTAGGGTCCCAGCCCAGCCTCCACCACGGCCTCTGCAAAGGCTACGAAGGGACCGTCCCAGCTATGAGAGATGAAAGCCTCGCCCAACCTGCAACATGAGGCCAAGCTTCACAAAGAACTCAGGAAAGTGCACTTGGTTGATCTGGGGCGCAGAGGTCGCTCGGAGTTCAACAGCCGCGCATATCCCAGATTGGGCTGGGAAGCTGTCGCCTGACGCACAGAAAGAAACGGGGTCGCTGCAAGCTCATCCGGCACCGCCAGGGCATTCAGCTCTACATCTTGGGCGTGGGCTGGGCAAACAACCTGGTGGACAACCTCTCCTCAAATTTGCACGCTGGCTCTCGGACAAAACCGCGCTGGTGTTACGCCTTTCACCCTTTAGCTGCAGCTGCGGAGCGCACGGTCATTACGGGATAAGTGATCCTGTCCGAAGGCATGCAGCAGAGAGGCTAGGGTCGTGGCTTCTGCGACCTCAACAACCGAATGGTCGGGAGACAACCTATTGGTCGGTCCTGGACTCCTCTTGCACCTTTTCCTGGCAGCTTGGTCAGTGATGAAGCAAGGACTGCCGTGCCCGCCATTCCTGGAACTCCATCAACTGCAAGAAGCTCACGGCCTGGGCTTTTCTTGCATCTTCCGTGCTCTCTCGCGGTCTTGCGGGATCACTTCAGTTCTCGCCCTCCCGAAGTTGCGGCTCGGTTGCCAGACGCGAGGGATGCATCACCAGCGGATACTGGCGAAGAACACGGTGTGGCGCCAGAGCACACTCCTGTTGCAGATGGGGGCAACACTGCCGCTACGACTTCCTCTCAAATGTTTGTCTTCTACCTTTTGTGCGCAGGATCTTCAGCTCTTTCAGAAAGGCTTTGCTTTGTCGTCCTTGGTGCCGTCACCCACCTGTCCGCAGAGGTTGCTGCCCCAGACCCAGACCTCACCTCCAGGAGCGTAAGTACGATCGGTGTGAATCGAAGCCAAACTGAGCTGCAACAGACGAGACTAGAGCCTCGCTCACAGTCCCAGCAGGCAGTGTGATGCCAGCCAGCGGCGACCCCAACGCAATCGTTCTGCCAGGAAGAGGAAGCTGGAGAGAAGCCGAATTATGAGAAAATGCCAGCTCCGAACACTTGTGGAAACATCACAACGAGCCTGTTGGAAGACTCGTTGAGGAATTCTGCGGTCTTCTGCACTTGCCTTGGGCCAGCACAAAGTGTCTGGTTAACCCGACCCCTCCTGGACATGTTGATGTTCTTGCCTCCGCTGGAAGAGCCAAGCTCGGTTTTCACCCTTGTTAGTTTTCATCAGCAGGGCTTGGGGTGCTGTCAAGAGACGTCTCCTAGCTGGCCCACATCATTGGCTCCCCACGTCATCACCTCACCTGCAGGTAGCGAGAAGATGGAGAGAAACTCAGCCTCCATACATACGAGTACCTGACCGACTCAACGTAATCCCATTGAACATCCCAGGCAGCGGAATAGCTGTCGTTGGGTTCACATTGCTTACATTATATGGCACCAGAAAAGCTGACAGCGCTGTAGATGGGTAATCCATGCCCGACCGGCGTTGAACAGAATTTGCTGAAACCAGGGCCGAATGCGTTCAACAGGCCTCGGAAAATGCATTTGGATTTGCGCAGAGCTCAGGGAGCTCAATTCGATCAGTTTATGGGTTGTTGCTGAATCAGGACAAATTAAAGCATGTTCACAGGTGCGGGATGGCATGTGCGAAGCTCGCAGACCACAACCTGTGGAGTGCTGATCAGCAAACCTCGACCTCCTTCCAATCCAAGGGACCCCCGGCCGTAAGCCTAGAAGCCACAAGTCGTGAGGGGCAGCCCCAAGAATTTTTCGAAGCCTAAGCCCCAACCCAAGAGAAGTGCCCCTGAACAGGCCCTGAACCCCAACCGGCAATCAAAGCCTAGACTCCCGGATCCTCAAGCCGGTCATCGGTAGCAAATCCTAAACACCTGCACGGAGTGATCAGTAGCAAACCCAGGGGAGGCCACAAAGCTCGCAACCAAAATCAACCCGTGGCCTCGAAGGGACTGCTGCACTGCAAAACCAGTCGCCGAGAAAGTTTGGGCTACAGCCGCTGAATCCCCACGAAACGGAGTGATGGGCAGCAACTGCCATGCCGTTGACGTAATTTGCTCTTTTGGTGTGTGTCGTTGCCTGATTCTCTTGCTGTATTCTTCTCCTGTCATGGGCCTTTTCTGTCATAACCTTCCTCAAAGCCCCAGTCCCACCTGCTTCAGTGAGCGCCACGGTATGGGCATAGCCACAGGCTATTGCAGTTACAGGCGAGCCCGTGACCGCGGCTGTCTCCACAAGCACCTTAGATGGATGCCGTAGGTTTGTTGCAGAGACGGCGATTGGAAATGGACCGTTACGAGCGTGTGTTTTTGAGGGCACAAATGACGATGCAGCGCAAGCCTCTCACACATCCCGAGCACTGGAGCACCCCTTCATGATATGATCGGGAGGCGCCGGGAGCGGAGAGGCCTGAGCAGCGCCGTCCCCAAGCTGGCCACGGTCGTTGGCACCCAGGGCGAAGACCTCCGAAAACAAAGTACATAGCTCGCCCGTTGGCCGATCAAGGCATGCGATGCATCGCTGCGCCTAGCCGGCCTAGCCTGTCCATTGGCGGTGCGGAACGCTACATGAGCATAGCCGCAGTCTGCAGCCACGGCTCCACTACTGGCATCAGCCACCTGCTGCAGCAGAACAACAACGCACGGGGTACGATGTTTGCTTATAAGGAGGCATGTCCCCGAAGGACGATATACAGTTGCATGCATGTGTATATATATATACACATGTATGTATATGTATATATATATATACATATGTATACACACACATACATGCATACGCACATGCATACATACGTACATACATACATACAGACAGACATACACTGATAAATGTGCATCCAACTGAGATCATGCCATTCCCAGACGGTATGAGGAGTTCGTGCTCTTATAGATAAGTTGGCCTTATGATAAGACCCACCTCTGTCATGTCCGAGTAGACGATCCCGTCGAGAGTTCCCCAGACCAGCACCTAGACCAGCTGAGCGGAGATAGGATTTCAGCATAGCAAACACTGCTTCCTCTAGCTTTCGGTTGCAAGTATTGACGCACGCGTTAAGCCGCCGTGGCAAGACGTTGCAATTTCGGCAGGCCTGCTGGGCCCAATCCATGCCAACACCCTGGATTGGCATGCAGAACTTTTTTTTGCGTTGAGAACTACAGACTTATGGGAGGTTGTGCGCAGCCCACTGCGCTGCTGGCAACGAAAACATACTGGCCGAAGGCACTGCCAACCTTGGCACTGCCAAGCAAGACTTCACCTCTCCTGCATTTCGTTTGCACGGTGGCAGGCGGCAGAAAAATGTTTTGGAGCACAGCTCCACGAGAAAAGTTGAAGCCGAAAGCTGCAGATCAAACTTTGACCGTAATCGCATTCTGTGCAAAAACCTTTTTCACTTTTGGCAAACTTTGACTACACTTCGGGAAGAATTATCTCAGTGGCAGACCCTAACCCTAACAGCGAAAGACAGGAATCAAAAAACGACTTCAAACGATTCAATTCGCATTTTGATGACGGCTCGAGATATTTATTTGCACTGCAACCAGCTCCGATGTTTTGTTGTATCGATGATATTTGCTGGCATGATTTTGCAATGGAAGGCACAAAGAGGACCTGTTCTCCTCAATTCCTGACATGGGGTCTAATTTCTAAGCTTATCTGATTTGTAAAACTTCACTAATCGCAACCTCAAGCCTTAAATGCACTGGAAACACAGACAACATTGTGTCTTTTCTCGCGTTTGCCGATTTTCTTGCATATGCCTGAACAGCAAACCAGGTATTGCGGAAGCATCGCATTGATGCAGGAAAGGACTCCTTGGGAGAACTCTGTTGCACAGGTTGGAAGATACTACAAACGTCGCCTAACTCCATCAGAATTGAAAACGGAAATGGGAGCATGCCATGCTCTAGCCACTCTAGCCTTCGTTACGACGGGATCTCTCTGCATCAGACAGAGAAAAAGCCCGAATCCTCGGAAGACTCTGCTTGCACAGGGTCAGATACCGCTGTGGTTTCGGTTGCCTCTTCTGGCTCTTCCGTCTCCTCCCCTTCACTGAACTCCTCAGTGAACCTCTCCTGGACGCCCTCGCTGACGGACCGGTCATATTCTGAAATGGAGGCCTCCTCCTGAGCGTCACGTGATCCTGGCCGGTTGCTTGAAGTTCTGGGAATACCCGGCTGGGTCGTCTCTGAAGCACTTCTTGGCTGAAAGGGTCTGAAGTTCACGAAGAGGACGGCATCAATGAGGACAAGAATCATGAGGGGCATAATGGGGACTGAACTTTCGCCCGGGCTAAGACTTTCTCCCAGCCACCAAGGGAGCCAGGCTGCCTCGGCTTTCAGAGCTGGAGCTCCACGACTTGAACAAACGCCAAAAAAAAGGGGAGCCTGTCCAGATGCCCCAGCTCTACCTACATCTTAGCGAGGCTCAGCTTGCAACTGTCAGCCCGAGTTCATGAACGGAAGGCGCTTTGGCACACTTGCATCGTTGCAAACGACTCAGGCACGACTCATGCAGCTCAATTTACAAGCTCGGCCTCTGCGAGAAAAATTGTCCGAAAGACTTGAGAGCATGCCGGACGACTGCTAGCAAGCTGTTTACCATCAGGCTAAAAGGGCGGGACAGGCTCAGCACATGCCAGGCCGCTGCAGTGAGGAGCGTGAGAGGGATGACCATGACCAAGGACAAAGTTTTCCTGGACATGCGCTCCTTGGCTCAGAGGTGCCATCTTCTTGGATTCTAAGTTCTTGGTCTCCCGACTGGGGCTGCGGCTAACAGCGGAAGCCCAGCTTTCCATAAGAGCATGCTGACTCTCATCAGGTAAAACATGAGCAAATAGATCATGAGCTGGTCCACGACCTGCGAGATCCAGCTGGGGCTCGCAGGAACGGTAATGGTTTCAATAAGCACCGTGGTGACTATACTTCATGTAGACACCTGATGGTCCACTCCCCCTTGGCTTATGCAAGGAACATGGTAAGCAGGCGAGAGAGCTTCATTCACCAGACGTTTCTGTGACATGTTTTTTTTCCCAGAGTCTTGGGAGCTTGCTGCTTAGCCACAGACCATCTCGGCAAACCATGATGGATTTTAAATCTCCGAACCCCATTTAAGCATTCTGAAACAGTGTCTTCTCTTTTCGGTTCAGGACTTCCAACCCAGCCCCTCTTCTGAATCTCAAGGCCTTGTACCGAACACACGCGTGAAACTTAACAGTTGTGAGGTGGGTTCACGAGCAAGGAGGTCCGAAGCACGAGGGTGTCTGAGTTTACAAGAGGAGCACCTGGGGCACCCAAGATGCCGGTCCCGCCTCTCGCAACAGCCATGAGAACCACAAAAACCCTTCCAGGTCTTCTGTGGGTCCTTCCATAAGGGACGAGACCCATCTCGCAATCCACGGGGCATTGCAGCCCACTGTGAACTTTATGTAGTCCGACAAGACCAGCACGTCGCCACCTACCGAACCCAAGAGAGATTTCGAAAGCTGTGTTTGAACAAGCTCGTTGAACCGCTCCAGGTAGTCGTCGTTGTTGGGATCCTCGACACTGGGGCCGTGCCACGTGCGCAACGTGGAAAACACCAGCTGTCGGTCACAGGCAAGCTCCTCGCCTGTCTCGGGGTGCCGATGACCCTTCAGACAACAGGTGCAAGCTGCCTGCTGAATCTGGAAAGCGCGCAGTTGCCTCGGCAACTCCTCGATATCTGAGAAGAGCTCCAGGCCAATGGAGTTGTACAGAGGAACCGTGGCAAGAAAGGTAAAAGCCATCCCCGCGAGCGCAACGGACCTCCAATACGGGTCCTCCGCAGTGTATGTCCAAACCAGGTTGCTGATGCGAACCGCCTGCCAGACAACAGACATGATCAGGAGGAGCACGGCCATCTTCACCGGCATAACGTAGACTTTGCGCATCCCGCCGTTCAGACGCAAGTAGGTCACGAGCTCGTAGGTGCACCAGAGACCTGAAGACAGAGACACTGCGACTGCTCTCTGAGTCTAGAGTTGTCATGAGTCTTGGTGGCTCCTTTCGCAGGCTCTGAAAGTCTCTGAAAAGCTCTGGCTCTGGGGCTCCGCACGGCTGAAGTAGCGGGGGGACCAGAGGACGATGAGACGCTGAGACACCCTCAGAAAGCCTCCGAGGCCCAGGATCCCCTGCTCCTTCTTGACAGGATCGGTTCGGGAGATGCAAAGCTTGTCGAGGAAGACCAGCGGAGAGCCCAGGAATGGGTCGCGAACACGCTGCCAGAAGAAGAGGAAGAAGAAGAGCGCTGCGTAGCCTAGCAAGACCAGCAGCAGGTCGCTGTCGGGCATAATCTTCAAGCCTGTTAAGATGCCGAAAAGGATGCAGACCAGAACCGTCCATGAAACTGCTCCATTGGCATTGAAGATAAATGTCAGCGAGAGGAACTTCAGCCACCGGCCTGGGCTGTGTCTGCATGTTTGTCTACCAAGTCTCGCGACAGGAAAACAAGGCCAAGAGCAGCCAAGTTTCTGGTACCCCAATCATGACTCAGAAATGCATCGATTTTTGTCGTCCTTTGGCTGAGACTCTGTTGATTCCGTGCCGTCAAGGACGAAGACCAGTGCTGGCCCCAGCCACCCAGGCAAGTGCTCAACGGAACACCTTGCAATAGGTCTGGTTCGAGGGCTGTGGGAAGTTCGCCCGAAAAGCCCCTCGGGATCATTTCTGCATCTACAGATTTGAGATCAACGAAGCATGACCTCCGGCTGTCCGGCGGTGCTTAGCACGGAAAACGCCTTGAGCCGTGGTCTGGCGGAGGGAGGGCTCTGGCGGAGGTGCAAGTTTTCCCCGCTGCGGCAATTGCCATGACTACAACGAGCCTATCTGCCAATTTCTCACGCTTCCTAGGACCAATGTCAAATTACATGACGGCCGCCTGACCAGACTCCATCACGGCACAACTGTGCAACCAACCAGCGGCAGCCTGACGCAAGAGGCCAAACTTGCAGGATCCCAGGAAACTACCGTGTCCTGGTGCCGCAAATCGCTTGAAAAGCTTCGCGTCTGACGGACGAAACAGTCTTTGGCTCTAGCTCCGGAAGCTAAAGATTCAATCTCAGGCTCAGTCAGCTTGGGGCTGTTGACACTGGGCATTTGCATGGTCCAGCGGCTTGCGGGTGGCTTTCCGAATCGGGTCGGCCTGTCGCACACCGGAGGCCAACACCCGCACCGGCGCTTGCTTCGTCTCCCGTGAGCCGTCTCCAAGCTGGCCTGCACTGCGAACGCGTTGTGACAACCGGCCTTCTGAGGGAGGCTGCCACGGGAGTCGGACATACAGCGAGCAATGAACGCCATAGATTCCATAGATGCACCCTCCCNNCCCCCCCCCCCCCCCCCCCGCCGCAACAACACTCATCTACGACACCAGAGGCTGGTGGTAGGGCCTGCTTTGCAACAACGAAAAGAAAAGACCCTGAACAACAAAAACAAAACTCTTGGCACAGCTTGCGATGGCAAATACGCTCTGTCATAAGGGATGGAAAACATGCCGTACTGGCTCCATGGCAAAACTTGCTGCTTTTGGGCACATTCGGTCACTCCCTCACCTTTGCAGGCTGAATGTCATTGTGGATGGTGGCGGTGACCACAGTCATGGTGCAGTCGCGATGATGACCGTGACGATCATGACGACAATGACAGCGAAACCGGTGTTGATAAGCCCGCTACTGATGGCGGTGGCGAGTGTAATGACGATGGTGGTGGTGAAGTTGGCGANNTGGTGGTGACGATGGTGACGGTGACGGCAGTTATCGTAATGATGAGAGCGATGGCACATGAGCTTGGTGATTCATCATCATCATCATCATCATCATCATCATCAAAATCGTCAAAACTGAAGCAACTAAAATAATCCTCGTCAGTTTTCTTGTGCCTTCGGGATCTTTGTTTTGTGCGGCTTGTTTTTCGGACTCCACGCAGAGAGTTCCCGACATGAAGCGAACTCTGATCTGGATGCAAAAATCTGGAGCACTCGACAGGACGAGATGAGCAACTATTCGTCGAAGTCCGAAACATTTTGCAAGGCCTGGCCTTGCTTGTTTTGGCCCCAAGCCCAGACCTCACCCATGCTGGTCACAGCCAAACTGTGGAACCAACCTGGCAAGGTGGCAGTGCAGGGCTACGCTGTTTCTGGTGTGCCACCACTCGCCGGTTTGCACCATTGCTAAGTCACCAAGTGTGCTGAAGGCTACACAACTCGCGAAAGTCCCCAATCCCCGCTTCATCTGCTCCCAATTCTCCCGTTGCTTCCACTGCATAGGCCAGCCTGCAGAGATGTGCTTGACACCGGGCAGCGGAATCTCCACGGGCTCCAGACGTGGCTGGATCCTGGCTTCCGGTTATCATGCTTCTACAGAACAGGCGTATTGGATGGTTCTGCTCAAGCTAGAATGATGGCTCGCGACCCTTCATGTGGATGGATCCGTCTAGAAGCCATCCGATCTCACCATGCAGATGAAATTCGCCGAGGCAACGTCCCATCACCAACTTGCCCGAATTCATTGCCTGAACCCAGGTGTTCACCGGCAGATGATGACGTGCAGTAGCTGCAAATCTAAAGACGGAATTCGATATTGCGCTGACCATGCGCCTCCCCAGCAAAGAAGCCGCCCAGTTTGGGTGAGACCCATGCTGTGCCTGCCACGGAACATCTAGCTTGAGCCTTCCAAAACCCCTGCTGCAAAGGTACAGCTCGCAAACCTTCAGCCTGACGTAAGCCTCCGACTGCATTCCCGCCACTAGCTCCACGAAGTCCGCATCAAAAACCTGCCGCCAAGGCAGCGTTGATGTGAAAACACCGAGACAAACTGGAAAGCTTTACTGGAGGCCAGGCTTCCTAAAACTGAAGGCATCCAGCTTCGACTTGCCTTGTCAGGAGTTAGCCGAGATGTTCTCGTGCCATCTCCAAATTGCCCGCGATGGTTGTCTCCCCATGCCACCACGAGATCTCCATCCGCACAAGCCTCACGGCCAAAGTCTGCTGACAAAGCCGATGGAACTGATCCAGTTCTCTCAAGCTCAGTTCTATAAAATCCGACGACCCAGACTCAACAGCACTCGACGGCTTCCTGACTGGCTGAAAGATATTGACAACTGGGAGCCCCGACTAGGCTGTGCTGCTGGCCAAGCGCAAGCATGGCAAGGGGCGTGTCCCGCCCTACTACAGTCAACCACACGTCTAAGGGAACTTCTTAGCTTCACAAGTCGAGGCCCACTAATCAAACCCTTCTTGTGACACAAGCCCCGGCTTGGGATGCAACCCTGAAAGTCTCGCTGCCTGTCACCCATGACATGATTTGGAGACCGATCTACGCGACCATGATGCATCAGGCGCCATCTTCAACAGGGAAGGGGCGAAACGAGGTTTTGTGGCACGGCACTGATGAGCAGCTCAATCCGTCAAATTGAGAGTCCCGTCTGCAGCGAGCTTGCTATGTCTGTGGGTATTGAGAACCTTGTGCTTGATATGACTCTGCATAAAAACCGAGGGGAGCTGGTTACTGCTTGCGACACCTTGGCCGCTACGCACCGCCTGCATAGCCTCATGCAGGACGTAGCACTACGCATCCCACTTAGCCTGCCTCTGCTCGACGATGGCATGCAGACATCAGCGAAACAATGGAAACAATCTCAAAAAGCCCAGAATCACAGTTTGTTCAAAGCTTTGGTCGACTGAGCTTCGACTCTCTCTCTCTCTCTCTCTCAGCGTCTCACTCTGTAGCTCTCACTCTTTTGCTTCTTCGTCTTTCGAGGATTTCCAGACATCGAGCTTGGCATCGCGTAGCAACTTCCGGGGGGCTAAAATTGCGGAAGCTTGCAGACACCGGCACGGACATGCAAAAGTATTCCACCATCGCAGCTCTTCGCAGCGCAGCTCCTTTCAAACGATGGCAGCGGAAGCGCTCTCGAGCTCCGGCGGCTCCGGCTGCCGTTCACAGCTCACCTGGGATGGTGGCGCAGGCACCATGTCCTTCTGGGCATCTGACCGCAAGATGCAAGGAAAGTAGGCTGCGGGCTGCGCGTTGCTTGCCTCGCCGTCGGCTGCACTGTGGCCCGGAGCGGCCTTGCAGTGAGAACATTCGCACCTCCTGGGTCGTCGTTGAGTCGTTTCGGTGCTGGAAAAGCAGGGGCCGGGCCGCCAGGATCGTGGCCGGTGGAGCCTCGGAAGCCCGAGCCTGTGCGAGGCGCGCAAGCATGCCTTGATATGCTTTGCCGCACCGCCGCACCGCCCTGCCCTTATCCATTCAGATGCTTTCGGTCCTGCGAGCTCTTTGGAGAGAGGGCGGTCTCCAAAGCCTACCAGGAACATGCGCTGCTTTTCAAGTAAAAACAACAATTCCGATTCCACCTGAAGCGCTGCAACCTGTGAGCAAAAACATCAGCTTCAGCAAACAAGTGTGAAAATGACCTGCTGTCCGGCTTTGGGCCCACACTGTTTTCTGAAGGAGCTCGGTGGTAGCAACCGGACTAAGTGCACGTCAGCTTCGACTCGGGGGCATGGCGAGGCTACGTCCGGCTCTGAGGTGGCAGCTCCAGCTTCTCCAGCTCAGGCTGGGGAACAGCAGCCTGGGGCAAACAAGACACGTTGCAGGCGACATGCGCGAGAAGGCCGCTAGTGGGAGCTGTGCAGAGGTCCCTACCGGCTGTGAAGGTATCGAAGGGACGGGCGTCACCTTTGCTGACATGTGGACTAACCTGGACAGGCCTATCCTGCCTTGAAGGGTCCGAGGCTGCTTCTGCCACTTCTGGCTGAGTCTCAGCTTCGGCAGCCTCAAGAGTCAAGAGTGTGCTCCGGAGCTGGTGCCTTCCTTTGCGGCTCCCTTCCACCTGGACGTCGTTGGTCTCCTCGGGCTCCTCGGGCGGGCTCGCTTCCGGCACCTCAGAAGCTCAGCCCGCAGTCTACACCCGAGTCGATCCCTTGAAAAGCCGGGCTGCCATGGAGCTTTTCGCTGGCTCTTCGCTCTCCCATGGGAACGGGGCCACCTTCGGGTGACTCTTTAGAACCTTTAGCAGTAAAGGTTAGCATGACAACGGGGGGCGCACGTCCATTCCTGGCGCCGTAAGGAGATGCACCAGCGCTGGCAGCTGAAGCAGAAGCCTCACTCCGCAACAACTGCAACAACGGCACCGTCCAGTTACCTGCTAGATGGGTGCGCTGCCACGCCAGGCGCCCATACTCACAGAAGGTGCTGCCCACAACCTGAGAGTCGGCAAGTGCATGAGCTCCCTGAGCTCCCTTTCGCTCTCCGATTTTCCCCAGATGCCTCCTCACTGTGCTTGTCTGCCCAGGGCCTCGGTCTCCGAACAGCATGGCATATGGGCCTCGCCTCCCGTCAGACACCCAAGGCTCGTTCAGCAGGGCCGACACAATGTCCTCTAAGTAGGCCTTACGGGAAAGCACACGATGCTGCAAGAAGGACAGGAAGCCGGAAAGCCGGCTTCAAAGCCCGAGGCCTCCGAGCGGCCGAGGGCTTCCAAGAAGAGGAGGAAGCCAGCGGGCAGCGCCAAGGCTGCTGGCACCGCCATCTAAGGTGAAAAGACAAACTTTAAAACGCCACAACGCCACAGTTCCTCCAAGTCTTCCGAGCTTCAGACCGCGAACGCCTGGGTGGCCCGGCGCCGGTACAGACCTCCGATGGCAGTCTACCCAAGAATCCAAGCCATCTCTTGACAACTGGTCTCCCAGGGCGATGTCATGGGATGCCCAAATCTGCTACGCGCACTCGCGTGTAAAGAGCTGAGTGCGACTGCAGCACGACTCTGCAGACAAGGGCCTTCTTCGCAGGTATCGAAAGACCCGTGTTTTCCATTTGCCGCGACCCGAACTGTCCCAACTGTGTCGGGTGCGGAGTTGGAGAGTGCTCCAGACCATGCCTGATTGTGCGACGGAAAGCGAAGTTCACCCCTAGCCGACGCACTCCGTTCAAGAGTTCGAGGTTGCTCTTTCGTGGCCGTGGGCAAGACAACCGGTAGCATAGCAGCTATTCTCTCTCCAGCATTGCCCAGTGGCCTCGTCTATTCGCCGGTACAGTATTTCTTTCTGTCTTCCTCCCCCTCATACAGCAAGACGAAGGCCATTGGTAGAGCTTGGAATTCAGCACCAAGGAATCCAGTGCCTTTTTGTGGCACTCCCACTGGGAAACTTTCGTCAAATGATTGGGGGGGGGGGGGGGGGGGGNNGGGGGGAGCTGTGCAGCAATGAAGTCATTTCTCGGGAATAGGGCCGAAACCTGCCCAACATCACCGGGATCAGTATCCTACGGAAAAATCTGCTCGGGAATGCGTGTTGCTTTGAAACTGCACCATTGGTTGAGATGAATATGGGTTTTGCAAGCAAAATGAAACAAATGAGAGTCCCAAATAGTCAAAAACTAACCTAATCGCCTCAATCCGCCTCAATCTCAACAATTTGGTGACTAAGGCCTGGCGACCTTACTTTGATGACTTGAAAACAACACACAAGCCGACACTGAGATTAAGTTTGCAGTTAAGCATTTGCGGCCGAGCGGTGACGGCAGCAGTCGGTAATTACGAGCAAGGGCGGCAGCGACCGTCTGTCGGTAATTCATGTTTTGCGGCCGAGCGGCGGCCGCGGCTTAATTACCGAAGGGGATGGGAGGGGGAGCTTTCAGGCCGTCAGGCCAGTGTGGTGGTCCATTGGTCACCTCAGGTCACCTCCCTCTACTCTCGGACGTGCGCTGTGAACAACTGTCAAGAGCCAAAAGCAAACAAGCCGTTGAGTTTTCTGCCGATCTGGCTTTGCTCTGAGTTCCGCGCCCGCCGCGGCGCCGGCGTAGCCGAGAGCCATGGCCGACAGAGCAGCTAAGGCCTCCGGCAGCGGTATCCAGCTGGCCACCTCGCAGTGATCGCCAAACTCAAAGCTGTCCTTCATCAATGCCGCGGTCCGCAACAGCCCTCCCTGTGCGAAGACCCGCACCAGCACCAAGTCTCCGAGTAGAACGGCAAGCCTGGCTTTCGCTTTGTCGATTCAGGAAGACATTCCGAAGCTACCAACTCGCCAGCCATGCGCGGCACCGAGGAGCAACCGAAGGCCGTCTGCCCTTCGACATGGTATGGCACACACGCGCCACACTCTGCACCTTCACTCAGGCGCGCACCCTTGCCAAAGAAAGGCGAAGGCAAGCACTGCAGTCAGCAAGCCTCCGTCGCACGGCTGAACAAAGCACCGGTGCGGCCAGGCGAAAAAGAACCAGGAACAGTAGTCACAAAATTATGAAGATGAAGTTCGACACTGCTGGCGAGAGGCCTGCAACCGATCCGAGCAGCTCTGAGGGAGGCGAACTGGCAACGAACCGTAGGAATTCCTGCCGGCAGTCCAATCGGCACTGATTGTGAGGGATCAGCCACTTTCCTCAAGGGAGTGCAGGAAACTGCGAATAGAATCTTATCGAACAATAAAGTGTTTCGGACTTAGCCAACGAGGCATATAGCATACGGAGAGGGCTATTAACAGGCGAGCTCATGAGCTACGAGGACGTCGGTGCTCTTGACACTGTGTCACTATGAGACAGTACGAGCACGACTGGTAGCTTGTCCAGTCTTTGGCTCCGTCCGGTCTCATTTGCACGAATCCTGCTCTTTGCAGGGCGGGCTCATCCCTTTCGATGACGCACTCTTTGCGAAGCATAGCTAGTTTAGTAACTAGGCCGCAGACTTACCTACCATATGAAAGCAAGCATGCTCTCATAGAAACACGCCGCAGACAGACATGCCCAAGCAAGCAGGTCCCGAAACGCTCCGGCCAAAAGGACTGGAAGAACGACGAGAGCGCAGACGGCGAAAGATGCGGCCTGCCAGAAGGAGAGCAGCTACAATGAGCTCGTTCTCAGAGATGCTTGAGAACGGCATCTACGTGCATGCAGCAACCTGCGCACGAGCCGGGAGGAGAAGCAGCCCTGTGCCCACGGCCATCACCACCAAGGAGACGAAGAATCTGACAGTCGTTCGTCATTGACAAGCTGTGGTGCCCACAGTACTGAGACTACGACCTGTTGATGTGCAACATGGCCATCCACTGCTCCAGCTGCAGAACTGCGAGGCCAGCCTTGGTGAGTCTGGGGATCCGGGAGCAAGTAGCCTTGGGTGTTAAGGGGCAGACTGTACAGGAGGCAAAGTCCTCGAGGCACCGCTCCTGCTCGTTTGAATGTGAGGCATCAAATGTCGACCTTTGGTCTAACAGCATCGCAGTCAGCACATGCAGGTAAATAGAACCCCGAAAACTCGCGGCAGCTCTCCTCCTGAAGATTCTATGCTTCGATAATGCTACGTCCTACGTGTGCAGGCAAGCTCCTTGGCAGGCTCTGACGACAGTGCCTCGTGGGGCAAGGAGATATTCTTTTGTGAACGAGCGGCAACAAGAGGCTACCACCCTCAATTGTCACGTCTGCGACATGACCTACACCTGGCTGATTCCAGGCATAGCAGAATACACGGCAGATAAGTTTGAGGCAGACTGGTGCTTCTTCTCTCGGGTCGCTTCGGCTTGGGCCTCAACTCGCAACTTGCGAGGTTTCGCTGGCAGGCCAGCAAATATCGATTCCCGTGCAGACTGTGGTTCCTCCTGGGTCACCCACGGCTTCTGCTCGCTTCTCAGCTGTCTTGGCTTCCTGTCAATGCACCGACAGGATGTGGCTCTGCAAGCAACTGCGGCTCTGGTCTATGACTGGATCCGAAGAGCCCAATTCGATGGAGGTGAAGCACTTGAAATCCGACTACAAGATTAATATATGTCTGTGGCAGACTAGACCATACGGACACTGTCGCCTGCGCTGCCGCCTCCGACTTCGCCACATCCTGTTGGGCTGACCTGGCCGTCACAGTGCTTTGCAGATCTGTTGGGTGATTCGAAGTGCTCAAGGATCTCAGGAGCCCCGGTGTCTCGACAAGGAATGGGACAAGGAACGAAACACTGGCAACACCGCGTGACCATTTTTTCTCGTACGTGGATGCACAAGGACATATGCACTTCTACAAACCTGGGTTCTGTCGCTTTTGCTGTTTGTCAACATGGCCAAACGCCATGCCCTGTCAATGGATTCATGTTTTGTTCGCTCCAACACCCGGTTTGTCTGGATGGACACTGCAAAAGGAATAGGCACCGTGATAAGCACGAAAACCTGCGTGCTTCATTTCCCTCAAGACATTTCCCTCAAGAAGCTGGCCTCAACCTATCCTCCAGCTCCTGAACCTTCGTCGACCAGCGCACCTCGAATTGCTCGTTTCGATATGTGGCAGTCATGGCCCAGTCATGCACTGCAAGGTGCTGGACGCCGGAAACAACGGAAATGACATGGAAGCAGACTATATAGCATAGTACAATATAGTAAATACGATCATGTACAGACTCAACCAAACTGCAAAAACGAAAATGTAGCATTACAATGCATTACACATACTTCACAACTACATGGCTCTAGTAGGAGTCATGCAGCGACAAATCAGCATGCAAGCTAATCGGTCACAAAAAAAAAGGTGCGCAGTCAGTGCTACATGCATATTCAAAAAGTACGTATAAATACTCACAAATAAACGTACCTATTCTCTTCCAGTATCGCATGACCCTGCTGTCGTGTCTAAACATGACTACGACAGCAAGAACAACTCAACATAAACGAAATTACACCAACTGGTCAAAATAGGTAAATGAACCAAACTGGAGCAGCTACTCAAAACACATAAGCAAACAGTAAACAAGGCTACGAATGATTGGTGATAGTAACACACCTCGTGCATTCCAATCAACCTGACCTGACTAACTTATTTGCCTAGGTTAATTTGTTGAACAAATTTAGGTTGAATATATTCAGTTGCTCAGTGTAAGCCAATGTAATTCATTACGTTCTCTTGCCTGGTTCTTTTGTGTAGTACATGCAATTACAGTCATCCTTCAATAAATGAACAAAACACATTGCCGCTGCCTTTTTCGCAAACCTCATGGCTTTTGGACGTCGCCGAGAAGAAGGTGTTTCTCGGCTGTCATTGTCTGCGACGGGAACTCTGCAGTCATACCCGCCTGCAAATACCTTGAGACTTCCAAAGACTCTCTCCACGAAGAATAGACCAACTACTTTCAGCGGGGCCATCCATACAAGTACGTGCAGCTGCATCTACATGTGTATGTATGTATATATATATATATATGTATATACAGATATGTTTGGATTGAAAATGTAAACTCTTTGTGTGTGTATGTATTCACACACAATCTGCATATTCATTCTGTGTACATACATACATAACACATGCATGCATATATATATATATAATAGCTCACCCCCCCCCCCCCTCCATGACACGCGCAGA